CCTTCCCGACGTCGCACGGAGAGCAGCGGCTGGCTTGGCGAGGAGGTCGTCAGCGCTGCCTGGGGAGAGGGGCAGCTCCTGCGTCGATAACGTGAAGGTTTATGCCTGGCGTGGCGCTGTTCTCCTCCGCCCCGTGCCAGCAGGTGCCGATGGGGCAGCGGCGCGACAGGGATCGCTGAGCCGTATGTTAGGAAAAGCAACCCGCGAGGTAGTGCTGATCCGGCCTGGAAACAGGGAGAAGAGCTACCAGCTCGCTGGGGCTTACCCTTTAATTGTGCAGGGCTGTCAGAGCTGGGTTTGCTCTTCCGGCTCTGGGCTTTTGGGGAGAGGACCCACGCGGGTCTGGCAGGGTGACTGAGTGTTGATCCCGGCGTACCCAGGCTGCCCGCTCCTGAGGGAGCCTGGTGGAACTGGAGGGTGGATGTGGGTGTCCATTGGTCATACAGCCTTATTTTAATCACGTGTGATAGGATTAAAACTCCCTAAACCTTGAACAGAAGCTGCTACATCCTAATAAAATATTTGGCTTTGACAGGATCCATCTTTAAAAAAGGCAGAAACATCTCGTTCCCTTTATTTTCGGGAACGTTTTAATACTCTCCCTTTGACTCTCCCCGTACGTTATTTCTGTAAATCCACACAACCTTCGCTGTGTACCTGAAGATAAGCAAAAGGCTTTCTGGTCTTCCGCTACGCGTCTTTGCTGCCGTGAAACAGTCAAGCCGCTTCTCCCCGTGTCACCTAACAAAGTGAAGCTCTGGGCTGTGCCCAGAGAGCCAAAAAGGAGTTTTTTTCCCCTTTTTGAGAGCCTCTGAAAAGCTTGGGAGGTCAGACTCGAATAGCGTATCCTGAAGCCCGCTGAAACGAGAGAACTCCGCGCGAAGCGGAGAGGTTGTCGCTTCCTTGCCGGCGAGACGCTGCGACTGCGTGAGCCGGAAGAGCAGCGTCTCTCCGCTGTGCTTCTTTGCAGGTGGGGTTTCAGAAGATCCTGACTCTAACCTACGTCGACAAGTTGATAGACGACGTTCATAAGGAGTTCAGGGACAAGTATCGCAATGAGTTCCAGCAGAAGGGCACCCTGGGCCTCCTAAACGGCACCTTTGATTTTAAGGATGACTTCATGCGCCTCCTCCGGTAGCAGAGCCTGATTTTGCCTCTCGTTTCCATTGAGAGCAGAGACGGACGGGCGGGGTGTGGGGGGGGAGAGCTGGAATTCAGGCTAACGGGCCGCTTCCCCCGCAGGGATGCAGAGGAGAGCAGTAAAGTCCGAGCTCCCATGGTAATGAAGACGTTTGAGCAGTCTCTGAAATCCCAGAAGACTGTCAAGTGTATGATAGAAACCCGGGGGGAGAAACCAAAGGAGAAAATCAAGAACAAGAAGAACAAAGGTTCCAAAAAAGAGGGTGAGTTGATGGGGAAGATATATGAGGGGCGGAGTAAATACTCCAGAGCTTTGTGTCCCAGCCTGCGCTTTCCCAGTCCTCTCGCAGCTCCCCAGTGCTGAGCTGGTGTCGGGGCTCTTTCCGACAGGGAATGAAGCTGTCGCAGCAGCATCCGCGGGTGACAAGCAGCCCTCCGCAGACGGGGACAGGGAGGAGCTGACCAAGGATGAAATTCTGCAAAAGAACCGGGAGGAATTCTTCAAGAGACACATGAAAGCAGGGGAGAAGTCCAGGTGGGGAACGAGGGCATGGCCAGCCTGCCTGTGCTTCACGCCAGCTTTTCCCGGTGTCCCGTGGCCACGGCCGAGTCTCCTTCCTTCGCTCACCCTGGAAGTCAGTCCTTGCTTCCCTGGACTTCATTTCCCTTTTCCTTATTTCCCTGCTTGCTGAAAAGATTGGGACAATGCGGCACGCTGGGGGTCCTGGAGGGGTAATAGAGCCTGATCCCCCCTCCCTAGGAGACCCTAAACCCCAACATGTACGTGGGAGAGGTCCAGACCCCTCCTTTTCAGTGAGGCCTTCCCGCTGTGAGCAAAGGGCAGCGGCGCATCGATGCCTGGCTTGAGGGAAAGCGGTCTGATTCTGGGTTAAAGTTCAGATGGAGGCTGAATCAGCCAGGTTTAGCCTTAATTTCTGCCTCTTTGGGTAAACCAGGCTTTTAATTTTTATGCCTTCTGCGACAGTGATTGCTGCTATTTCACTGTCCTGAACAAAACCTGTTTCTGGCCTTTATTTCAGCAAATCTCCAAAGCCGGAGGCACAGAAGGAGAAGGGGAAGAAGCCCCGAGTGTGGGATCTGGGGAACTCTAATGCCAAAGTACTCGATTACAGTAACTCTGCTACCAACGGAAGCACAGAGGCTGTTCCCGTGGAGGAATTCGACCCCAGTACAGTAAGAAAAAGTCAGGCTGCTGCTTTGCCCTCTTTAGCGCGTTGTTCTGGGGTCAGCTGGGCGTTGCAAACCCAGCCCGGTCTCCGCTGCTGGCTGAGAAGGGGTGAGAAACGGGATTGCAGCGCACACCCCAAAAACCTGCTGCCTGAGGGGTGTTTTCTCCGGCCGCGGTAGCCGCAAACGGGGTCAACCTGCTTCGTCCTCGCGGCGAAGATCTCCGCTGCAGTGACGGGGAGAGATGACGGGCAGGGCGTGCCGATCTTCAGGCTGGTTTTTTCCCCCCCTCGCAGGCCCTGGGGGATCGAAATCGGGAGCCTGGCCGCCTCTACGACCTTGAGTACGAGAGCGACAATGAAGCCGAAGAGGAGAAGGTTATTCAGAACCCTTCCAAACCCAGGTAGAAGCTCCTGCAGCCCCTGCTTGTTGCACGCTGCTTGCTTTCTCTCCCGTAACTCCTGTTCCAGTCTCACCAGTAATGCACTGGGGAGAGATCGGTGTGTTTGTCGTGCTGTTCTTGCGTCGGGCTGCTGCGTGCGCGATGCAACTTGCTCCTCGAACCTAAAGGTAACTGCTTCTCCGCAGCGCGAAGAAGGGCGGCCTGGGGGGCATGTTTGGCATGCTGAAAGGCCTGGTGGGCTCCAAGAGCTTGACGAGGGAGGACATGGACCCTGTACTGGAGAAGATGAAGGATCACCTGATCGGTAACGTCTAGATCTCCTGCCAGCGGGTTTGTTTGAGGTGGTTCCCTGCGCTCCCGTTGGCTGGGCCCCGGTTTGGGGTAGCACCCAGGGTTTGGGATGCTTTTGCCCACAGGAACTGTGGTGGGTTCCTGTCTTGCCTCAAAAGGGGGAGGGGGCAGCACTCTAGTCGGGTGGGGATCCTGTATGCCGCCTCCATCCTTCCCTCGATGCTGACGGCTGGTGCGCTTAACCTTCTCGGCAGTGCTAACTCGCTCTGTTTCTTTCTCCAAGCAAAAAACGTGGCAGCTGAGATTGCGGTGCAGCTCTGTGAGTCCGTGGCTAAGAAACTGGAAGGGAAGGTGATGGGAACGTTCACCAGTAAGTGGCCGTGTGGCCTCCTGTGTGTGATTCGGGGCTCAGGAGCGTTCCCTGGGCGTGATGGGTTCTCTCTCCATCACCTCCTCCTTCCCAGCGGTGACCTCGACGGTGAAGCAGGCTTTGCAGGAGGCTCTCGTGCAGATTCTGCAGCCCCAGCGCCGTGTGGACGTCCTCCGTGACGTCATGGATGCCCAGCGCCATCGCCGACCCTACGTGGTCACTTTCTGTGGCGTCAACGGCGTTGGCAAGTCCACCAACCTGGCCAAGGTAGGATGCGGTCCTCCTGGCTCTCCAGGAGCTGCGCTGAGGTGGGGCTGAGGCCGCCAATTGGATCCGTTCCCACCTGCAGATCTCCTTCTGGCTCATCGAGAACGGCTTCAGCGTCCTCATCGCCGCGTGCGACACCTTCCGGGCGGGAGCGGTGGAGCAGCTCCGCACCCACACCCGTCGCCTCAACGCCCTGCACCCTCCGGAAAGGCACGGTGGGCGGACCATGGTGCAGCTCTATGAGAAGGGTTACGGCAAGGACGCCGCCGGGATTGCCATGGAGGCCATCTCTTACGGTGGGTGGGAAACCGATGGCCGGGAGACGCTGGGTTGGGGGGGCATACTGGGAATGTTGTCTCT